TCTCTCTCTCTCTCTCTCTCTCCTCTCCGTTCATCTCGGTCTGACCTTTCGTCATCACTTCCACACCCCCCCCCTTTCACACACAGGATGTATGACTTCGGCTACCTGCTGCGTGCCCTCACGGCCCAGCAGCTGCCAGACAACGAGGCCGACTTCTTCCGCCTCATCCGCCTGTTCTTCCCCTGGATCTATGACATCAAGTATATCATGCGGAGCGTTCGCACGGCGACTCCCATCCGTGGTGGCCTCCAGGACCTGGCCACTTACCTGCAGCTGTCGCTGGTCGGTCAGCAGCACCAGGCCGGCTCCGACAGCCTGACCACCTCACTGGCCTTCTTCGCCATCCGCAGCCGCTTCTTTGAGGATTCCCTGGAGGCCGAGAAGTTCTCCGGCCACATCTACGGCCTTAATCTTCATGGCTCCATTGCCGCGGTCAACTCCCTCTTTGCCGGCACCAGTGGCTCGTCGATTCATTGATGTATGGGCTTGTCTGCGCTGCCCCCTCCCCCTCCTCTCTCTCTCCCCCCCTCCCTCCCCTTCTGCCAGCTGTGACAAGGCGCCACTGCCGTTCCCCTTTTCCTCCTCTCTCTGCGAAGAGGAAGTAGGGGCCGCCGGCCCTCACGCCCGCCTTCGCCCTCTCCTTCATGCCCCTATCTCCCGGTCGTTTTTCGCTTCGTGAGAGAGGGTGCCGTCTCCGGACCTGTCCTTGTTCTTCCTCTGCATTTCCATCCTTCACTCGACATGTGTTGCTCCTTGTTCCCCCCCCCTCTCTGTCTCCCGTGGCGACCGCTGTGCAGAAGATCAGCGCGAGCCTGGGATACGAGGCGGGGGCACAGCGCGCCTCACTCTTCCATCCTCCACCATCTGCTCCCGCCGACAGCTTCTGGCCGCTTGCCCGCTTTGTCTTCTCTCGACAAAGCCACCCGCCTTCTTCGCTTTTGCCTCTCCTCCTTCCGGTGGCGGGGAAGGCCAAGAGCGGCGGTGTCTGCCGCCGGTTGCAAGCAGTCCGCGCGCCGAGCACAGGGGGCGGGCGGGCGGGCGGGCCCCTGCTTGTGCAAGTACTGGGCCCTCCCCCCCCCCCCGCCCCTCCCCAAAACCAAAAAAACAACACCCCCTCCTGAGCCGCCATCATCATTGCAAGCGCGCACAGCGCCCGATCATATGCGCGTATTTGGGTTGGCTCTTGTGGCTGCTGACTCCGATGGGAGCTTCATCACAGTCCCCCCCCACCGCCCCCGCCTGCTCCTTTCTCCTTGGAGCCAATACCGCCACTGGTCTCGCCGGCCGGTCCGCGCTCCTGCGCCCTTTTGGCTGCTTCCCCTCTCTCTCTCTCTACTGGTCCTTGAGTTTTCCCCCTCCTCTTTCCGAGGGCACGTCTGCGCACGTCCCCCTCCCCTGGTCGGCTCTCCTCCCTCTCGTCTGTCCTGCCGCGCCGTGGCCTCCGTCACAGCGCGACGCCTCGCGCAGAATGCCATCCTCCGGTCCCCTGGTGGCCATGCTTCTTCGGTCAAAGCTGCACCATCGACATGTGCCCCCCCCCCCTCCCCCTGCCCGCGCGGGTGCCCCCTTCTGCCAGAGGTGACAGCCCTGCCGACTCTTCCCTTGCGCTTGCGACCTGCCTTCTGCCTCTCCCCCCTCCTTCCGCAGGGACATGCTCCCGTGGGGCTGTGCGCCGGACGCGCATGTGTATGTGTGCCTCTGTCTCCATCATCGCCTAGTGTCCTGGTGGTTTCGCACGCGCCATGTCACACATGCGCGCTTCCGCGCCCGCGCTCTCCACGCTGGAGCACCACCTGCTCGTCTCTCTCTTCGCCCCTCTTTCAATTCCGATCTCCGCAGACGACGCGCCTTCATATTCAACTCGGCGTTGGATGGTCCCCTTGCCCCCTCCTCTACATATTGGGGGGGGGGACCCCCCTCTCCTCCCCCCTTCTCTCTCTCTCTCTCTTCCCATCCCATCCACGCCTTGTCCGAAAGCATGCGGCCCCCTCCCCCAGGCGGCGCTTCCCGGCCATATGTATACTACGCCGCTGTCCTTTAAGCTGGCCACCTGCCTGCGCCGGGCCCGCTGCTCTCCGCTGCCATGCGCATGTGCACGCCCCCCCCCCCCACCTATGCACGCTCCGTGTGTGCACATGCCTTGGCGCTCCGCGCGCCAGCGGGCGGGATGCTGGTGTCTGATGGGGTGAGAGAGGCGCCTTGCGCGTTCTTTCCCCTCCCTTCCCCATTCGGACCTCCTTCCTCCTACTGCCGCGCACACCCGCTCTCCTCCCTCCCCCCTCACAACCAACTGTCCTTACTTGTAGCATAGCCTCTCCTTCCTGGCTCCCCTCTCCCTCTCCACATGCGGAGGACTGTGGCTGGCCCCCCCCCCTCTTCCCTCTCTCCTCTTCCCGACCTCCCTGTGCCCCTCCTTCCCGGCTTTGTTTATGACCGCGTCCCCCTCCTGCCTCGATTGTCGGAATTTCAGAATCGAAAAAGATAAAAAATGAGAAAACCCCACCTTATATCTCTCTCCCGTTGTTCTCGTGGATGTGTGTGTGTGTGTGTGTGTGTGTGTGTGTGTGTGTGTGTGTGTGTGTGTGTGTGTGTGCAGGATGAACGTGTAAGCCCTTCTGCCTGTTGAGTAACACCAAGGGTGGGGGCATTGGACACGTTTTCCCTTTCACAGACTTGGGCTTGGGCGCGTATGGCTGGGCTCCGAAGCTGGGAGTGAAGAGGAGGAAGAAGTGGGCTCCCAGTGCATGCTTCAGTTGCGCGACACGCGTGTGTATATATTTTCAAGGGCAAGCGTAGGAGGAGGCTGGGGAGGCATGAAGAAGGGGGGGGGGGAGCACCCGCAGGATGGAACTGCCTGACTGGAGTCCATTGAGCCCTCACGCCTCTCCAACGGCCACACACACACACTGTGGGTGGGCCCCTCTCCGCACTAAAATAGGTCCGGCATCTGCACCACCAAAGGCGACCCTGTCTCAACGTGCCAGAGTGCGGGGGCCGAGGTGTGATGCGCGTTTGGCGATGAGTTGGCTGCCTGGAGGATCCGGCCAATGGCATCGTCAAGCTGCAGGGGTGGGGAGAATCCGCATGTTCAAAGATCACACACACAAGCACACACGCACGGGTTGCATCAATGGGAGGCGGGAGGCGGGAGGCGGGAGGCGGAGGCGGGGTGAGGAGGAATGAAGAGGACAGGCATGTGGAAGGTACAGCAAGCGGCGCATTGACTTGAGGATGGGAAAGCCCATGGAGCAAACGCACGGCAATGAAGTCCATCTCGGTGGCCATGAGGTCCGAGCGAGAGGGGTCCAGCGGCGCGGCCTGCTGGGAAGTAGCCGGGGCAATGCTCAGGAAATCCGCGTCCTTGGACGGGGCAACCGAGGTGGCCAGGGCGGAGTTAAAGCGGGCCGCCAGGTCGAGACTGACGGCGATCTCAAGGAGGGCCGGCTGCCCATGCGCATGCCCATGATGCGAGTATGCCAGGCCATGCGAGTGCTGGTAGCGAACCGGTCCATGGGCCACCAAAGCATTTGGCGGGAGTGGATCGAAGCTGATCAGTGTCTGGGCCGGAGGGGCCGGCGGCTGGGGCGCCAGTGGCATGTCTTCCTGGGTTTGGACAGCTTCCATGAATTTACTTTCATCGCCGGCTAGGGTGTGAGTACAAATGACCAGCGAAGATCGCGGCGACCATGGGTGGTTCCTTCGTACTTGGATGTCTGGGCGACGAGGTTCCTCAAGAAGTCGGCATCTCCTGTCCGCCGATCGGTGTAAGATGCAGCGATGCCGTCCATGTTGGAAACCGGCGGACTGGGGCCGGTGTTCATGGGCCGCATAGTAGGGGGCGTCCATCGCAGATGTCAGAGGCGCTTCGAGGGGTGAGAGGCAGAGAGGGGGAGGGGGGGGGGAGGGACAGGGACACGGCTCAGGCGAACCGGGGCAAACGCACCGGTTTATTGAGGCCACGCCCATGGCGGTGGTCTGCGAGGCCGGGAGGCCGACGGTGGTGCCGGATCGGGCACGCCCCCCTTCGCCCCCACCCGCATGGGCCGAGGGAGTGGTGCCTGTGTGTCGCGAGAGGCCAGTGGGAGAGCCAAGGGAAGGGGCTAATGTGGTCAGCTTCCATCAAAGGCAGAGACTGGAACAGGGCCGATGATGGTCGGGGCATTTGCGCACCCTTCTGGGTGCTCTGATTGCAGCCCATGTGGATTGAGTGTTTGCGAGTGAGGGGCGGGTGGGTGGAGAGGAGATGGAGAAAGGGAGAAGGCGAGAGGGACAGGGAGAGATAGAGAGGAGTGGAGCTGCATGTGGAGATGGGGTGTCGACGGCTTGGTCGCCTTTTCCAGCGGGGGGGCACTTTTCCTCCCTCCTCCCCGGTGCAATCGGACAGACTGGCCATGGGTGCGTCAAGGGCTGGAGAGCCATCGGTACTCCTGCCACCCATTCTCGAAGACTGCCCGGCTGGGGTGCCTACTTTGGCTCCTGGTTCCCCCCCCCCCCCCAGCCCCCCCCCCCCCCCCCCACCCCCCCCCCCCCCCCGGCCCCGGTCCCCGACGACCCCCCCGCCCCGCACCTGCCGGCCTCCCTGCCAGGGGGCTGCCAGCGCCAGGGATAGAAAGGAAGACACGGGCCCCGGCAACATCGAGCCCGACCTAGCCGCATCCCGACGGATGTGCATTGATACGCAGGAGGGGATGACAAGCGTGTGGGTGCGTGTATGTGCGTGTATGTGTGTGTCTGTGGCAAGGCCCTCTCTTGCCGGGGCGCCAGCCTTAATCCAAACAGAGGGACATCGCAAAAATATTGGCTCAAATCTTGGAGACGCTCTTTCCGTGGGTGGCTGATCACGCCTACTCATGATCGCCTCTCCAGGCATTATTCCGGCTGCCTCGCCCGAAGTGGTCCCACCGGACGGCCCAGCATCTCGGCATGGACTTTTACTTCCTCTCCCCGGAGAGAAACGTCCTGCGAGGTGGAGGCGAGAGAGAGGCGGAGGGGCCGAGGCGGAGCCGGGGGGGGTGTGGGGGGGGGGGGCAGGGGCGCGAGGGATCGCGCGCGTATCGGCTGCCTTCCCC